CATACATTTGGAATTATTTAAATTCATATATTTATTTTTTCCACTTCAAGCACTGGTCCTAACAGATGAGGTAGATGAAGCCAAAGTAAATAAAACAACACAGTTTATTAAAGAAAGCAACAAAAGGTAATCCAAAATGTACGCCAAGCTACGAAACAATGTACATAGCACAAACCATACCGAAAAACTGAGAAGTGAACCCAGAGGAACTTAAATACACAGAGATAAACTAAAAGGTGAACAGGTGTGCTGATTAATGAATGTCCATGATACTGATGAGTGGCGGGAAACTAGAATAAAGGAAGCAAGAAGGTGATGTGAAACAACCTAAAAGTACATGATAATGAAACTAAAAGAACACACAATGTCACAAATGTACTTATTTGATAAGTGGCCAAAAGAAGTGAAGAATCATAAATATTTATTATAACGTATACGCATTATTTGTAACATTCCTTGGTTTAATTTTTTTCCCAAAATTGTAAAACTTTATTTCCAGATTTAAATTCCATTTTGAATCAAAGATTGTCAGTTTAACCTCAGACTTTTGAACCCCACTGTATGTCACACAAGAGTGTGTATGGGAACTGTTGCTGAGAAAGGAGAAGAGTGGAAAAGAGATCTTTGGTTTGTCCCACCATCCAGAGAACAAATACAGAGCTTTACCCCAACAGTATCCAGTGCCCCCACAACCTCGACATATTTCTGGAAGGTTATTTTTCCTGAGCAGGACTCCCAGATGAGTCTCTAATGCTGTAAGTAATAGAGTTGGAGATTCTGCTCTAAGCTGTGATTGGCTCCTCTGTTTGTCCAGGGGGACACAGTTTCCATTCCCACTTACTCTCTATCAAATCACTTTTATAAGCTTACAAAAAAGAAGAACTATATCTAGAATCTCCTCAGTCTTCACATCTGGTCACCACGAGAGGTTGCCAAGCTCTGATACGGTGCCAAAATGGACTCCAGGGACACATGAAACACATAAGAACAGGCCTGAATCTCACTAGTACAGACACACCAAACCGTAGGGCCGAGACTCATCCTTCACCATGTTTTACTGTCCCTCAAACTGCATCCATCCCTGTATACGTTAATTCATGCTCCTGAACTCTGACTCCGGTTCAGCAGTTAAGATGTTTTTAGGACGTCAAGTCATACAATACATTAATTGAACAGAATTAAAATAGCTGAAAGCTTCACACATAGGAATGAAAATTATAGTGCCCTAGAGTTCGTGTCTGGTACTTCCAAAATCTTTAAACAGCTGTGAAGAAGAAGAAAAAAACTGTTGTACATGGGTCAATGAGAAATAAGAGTGTCCAAGATAAAGAAAGGTTTATCTTTAAATCAGGTTATATAATTCATGTTGAATTCATATGGTTTTAACTTTCATAACATTTACAACAAAAGTTCTAATTTAATTATTGTAAAAATGTCATGTGGTGTAACCATCAAGTAACACCTTGAATTACATGTACACACTGTATGCAAAACGTTTTTATATATTATTTGTTCATAAATATCATTTTTGGGGAGTCACACCACATGATATTTTACAACCTGAGATAATCTAGCCTTGCCATAACAAAGTAATTTCAATGTCATTCTTTTAACAAGGTTTTTGTTTTCATTATGACATCCTGAAATGTTTGAGTTTATGGCCCCCCAAAAAATGCATTTTAAAGTATTTTTGAATAAATTAATATATAATATTAACAAATTTTTTAAAAAGAGTGTTTTAAAAGCATTTTAAGCTGATAAAACCTACTGTATCATATTTAGTACACAAATTACTAAGGTCTCTAAATTATGACAATGATTAAAACTTTGCTGAAAAACCTTGATCGTTTTACTTTTTTTGCAAGTAAAAGGTAATTTAGTATAATTCTAAAAATGTTCCCCTTCAGGTCATGGTTCATGTCTTTTTGCTGTGAAATCTTTAATGATTTTCATAAAGTTAACATAAGAGAAAGTTCAAGGATCCAGTAAGGGAATGCATTAGTAATAAGTAGTAATGCAGAGAAAACACGGACGATTTCATCAGAGATGGTGGAGAGAATAGTGACTCGCATCCAGATGGCAGTAAATTATTCTTTTCAGCGTGTATTTGGCTTAAAAGCACGAGTGTTTTATAATGAATGCCGGCTGAAGGTGTTTTTAGATCATGCGCTGGTCAGTGGTTTAGTAATTCTGAATGGATCCGTACAGTAGCACGTACAGTCAGGTTAAGGCAGCAGGTTTAGTGGTCTTTTGGTGTCTCCCTGTGGTCCTGTTTGGTGTCGCAGCTTAACTGGTGCTTATTTATATTATATATATGTACATTATATATATATATATATATATATACATACATTTGGAATTATTTAAATTCATATATTTATTTTTTCCACTTCAAGCACTGGTCCTAACAGATGAGGTAGATGAAGCCAAAGTAAATAAAACAACACAGTTTATTAAAGAAAGCAACAAAAGGTAATCCAAAATGTACGCCAAGCTACGAAACAATGTACATAGCACAAACCATACCGAAAAACTGAGAAGTGAACCCAGAGGAACTTAAATACACAGAGATAAACTAAAAGGTGAACAGGTGTGCTGATTAATGAATGTCCATGATACTGATGGCGGGCGGGAAACTAGAATAAAGGAAGCAAGAAGGTGATGTGAAACAACCTAAAAGTACATGATAATGAAACTAAAAGAACACACAATGTCACAAATGTACTTATTTGATAAGTGGCCAAAAGAAGTGAAGAATCATAAATATTTATTATAACGTATACGCATTATTTGTAACATTCCTTGGTTTAATTTTTTTCCCAAAATTGTAAAACTTTATTTCCAGATTTAAATTCCATTTTGAATCAAAGATTGTCAGTTTAACCTCAGACTTTTGAACTCCACTGTATGTCACACAAGAGTGTGTATGGGAACTGTTGCTGAGAAAGGAGAAGAGTGGAAAAGAGATCTTTGGTTTGTCCCACCATCCAGAGAACAAATACAGAGCTTTACCCCAACAGTATCCAGTGCCCCCACAACCTCGACATATTTCTGGAAGGTTATTTTTCCTGAGCAGGACTCCCAGATGAGTCTCTAATGCTGTAAGTAATAGAGTTGGAGATTCTGCTCTAAGCTGTGATTGGCTCCTCTGTTTGTCCAGGGGGACACAGTTTCCATTCCCACTTACTCTCTATCAAATCACTTTTATAAGCTTACAAAAAAGAAGAACTATATCTAGAATCTCCTCAGTCTTCACATCTGGTCACCACGAGAGGTTGCCAAGCTCTGATACGGTGCCAAAATGGACTCCAGGGACACATGAAACACATAAGAACAGGCCTGAATCTCACTAGTACAGACACACCAAACCGTAGGGCCGAGACTCATCCTTCACCATGTTTTACTGTCCCTCAAACTGCATCCATCCCTGTATACGTTAATTCATGCTCCTGAACTCTGACTCCGGTTCAGCAGTTAAGATGTTTTTAGGACGTCAAGTCATACAATACATTAATTGAACAGAATTAAAATAGCTGAAAGCTTCACACATAGGAATGAAAATTATAGTGCCCTAGAGTTCGTGTCTGGTACTTCCAAAATCTTTAAACAGCTGTGAAGAAGAAGAAAAAAACTGTTGTACATGGGTCAATGAGAAATAAGAGTGTCCAAGATAAAGAAAGGTTTATCTTTAAATCAGGTTATATAATTCATGTTGAATTCATATGGTTTTAACTTTCATAACATTTACAACAAAAGTTCTAATTTAATGATTGTAAAAATGTCATGTGGTGTAACCATCAAGTAACACCTTGAATTACATGTACACACTGTATGCAAAACGTTTTTATATATTATTTGTTCATAAATATCATTTTTGGGGAGTCACACCACATGATATTTTACAACCTGAGATAATCTAGCCTTGCCATAACAAAGTAATTTCAATGTCATTCTTTTAACAAGGTTTTTGTTTTCATTATGACATCCTGAAATGTTTGAGTTTATGGCCCCCCAAAAAATGCATTTTAAAGTATTTTTGAATAAATTAATATATAATATTAACAAATTTTTTAAAAAGAGTGTTTTAAAAGCATTTTAAGCTGATAAAACCTACTGTATCATATTTAGTACACAAATTACTAAGGTCTCTAAATTATGACAATGATTAAAACTTTGCTGAAAAACCTTGATCGTTTTACTTTTTTTGCAAGTAAAAGGTAATTTAGTATAATTCTAAAAATGTTCCCCTTCAGGTCATGGTTCATGTCTTTTTGCTGTGAAATCTTTAATGATTTTCATAAAGTTAACATAAGAATAACTTTTATATTGTTAGTAATCAAGATGAGCACTTGCTGGACTGAAGCAACTTACATTTATTTTTAGAATAATTGGAATTAAGTGACATATGACACTAAAGGCTTTTGAGGAACGTTTATTTGTAATATATTTGCATTTGTTTTATTTATATTTATATTATCTTTCAACCATCACTGCAATACAATTAAAACTACAGCATAAAGCATTTAATCAGCATCTAGACATATTATTGGGAGATATAGAGCAACAATTGATATTATTATGAATTTTATCTACGTAGTTTGCTACACTGTTGCAAAGACTGAATTATATTATGAGTTATCACAATTTCATAATTTCTGGCCATATAAATATCAGCAACTGCACCAAATTACATATTGTTGCTCAGTTTGGGCCTCTGAATAAAATTGAGTATGAGCTCCATTTTCTCCTATATCATACTATATGAGCCATGCAATCTTTATCAGATGTTGTTTTAAATAAACTGCTCCTTTAAAAAAAGATTTTCCTGACTATTATTTTAAATGTCAGGCTTTACAGGGTTAAGCTGTATGGGATATAGTCTGTTATTTGCATGTTTAATGAATAACTAAACTAATTATTGGGAGAAAGGTCTGAACTAATAATTATTTTCAACACTCTGGGTATCACTGAATAGGTTTGAAATAGCAGTTGAGAATTACCTGTGGGGTGATGCAGGATTAAAGCAGGTCTTGGTGACATCAGTGATGTTGGGGTTGCAGCAGTCCCCATGATCGTAATAGAAATTGTCCCAGTTACACTCTGGGTCACAAACCCCGTTCCCCTGCTTGTATTCGGGGCAGCGTGCGCCCTGCCTCTTACAGTATCCGGCGTCAAAGCCAGTAAGAGTGTGGTTACATTCTGGATCGCACTCTTCATCGCCCACTTTGCTGATATCACAGTTGGCCAGTATTAGGCGGTTACGTAAGGACGAGTTGTATACGTTGTGAATGGTGCGCTCCCAGGAGATGTTGTAGACACGGAAAGCATTGTTCAAGTGCTGGTGCTGAAGGTTGATCTGGTGGTCTGTAATCGTCGGCCACCGTCCGTCATCGTCGTAAACGTTTATCACTCGGTAGCGCACCGTCTTGGGTTTGCGGAAGCTCCAGAGCTGGTAGTAGTTTGTAATCACCTCCACATTGTCACACACAGTCTGTCCGCAAGGTGGAGGTTTCAGTGCAGCATCACTGAGGACAGCCGCCAGGCTCCGGTCTGAGTCCTCCAACCGGGGGAAACTGCCATCTTTCACCGTCAGCCACCGTCTTGACATGCTCTCGAAGTTCTCATGGACGACCAGCTGAGAGAGGTCACCAAACTGACCCAAACTGAGACCCATGTATCTAATGATCTCACGTTGGCTCAGAGCCCGATGCCACAAGCTCAAGTGTTCCATTGTTCCCCTGTAGTTGTGGTTTAATGCATTGCCACCGATCATGAGCACTTTGCACTTCTTGGTAAGGGGGCTAAAAATCTCACCGGATTGATCTCGACTTACAGCAACCTGCGCCCCGTTTACATACAGCTTCATAAAGAGACCGTTGTAGGTGACGGCCACGTGTGACCATTGATTGGGAGTGTAGGGTGCATTGGAGGTGATTGTGGTGAGCTTGTGGGCTCTGTCTGTCTTGAGGGAGAAGAAGACACGAGGGTCACGGTTGGCTTGGTCGCTGACCGCTTTGATGCCAAGTAACCATCCTCTATCGCTGGATGCGTAGAAGCATTTATCATAGAGACCTGTGGGAAGATGACAGGTATAAGATACAAGAACAAGCAGAGAATTATGCACAGTGTGGTCCAAAAAACCCACAATTTGAGTGAAAATGAAAAAAATCTACATGAATTTTAGGAATTTACAGTTTCTGATGTTAGTGTTGCTTTAATGACAGATGTTTTCAAGCTCTGTGAACTCCACATGTAAAATCGGATGTTCATGTTCTCCAGCATGTTTTGAGATAATCCAAAAAGATCCAATTGAAACAAGAACATCTGACTAATTAGTGACAAAAATAGTGCAGAATTGTATATATTCCTTATTAATTTTCATCAAATTGCTACTTTGTATTTTTTCAAAATCTTAAAACTTTATTTCATTTATTTAACTTTATTTGTTTGCAATTCAAAAGTTTGTGGTAAGCAGTGTTGGGAAAAGTTACTTTTAAAAGTAATGCATTACAATATTGCGTTACTCCCTAAAAAAGTAACTAATTATGTTACTTAGTTACTTTTTATGGAAAGTAATGCGTTACGTTACTTTTGTTTGCATTTGACTGTTTTTATTCATTTTGAGGAATACTGAATCTGTTTTTGTGCAGTGAGAAGAGTAAATAATGTTCATATTTAATCTAGAACTACAGTAACATAACATCACAGCGCACACCACGCCTCTGCACTTACTCTCCATTTTTCTCAACATGGCAACACGAGAGCTGTCAGTCAAGGGAAACAAAGTAACTAGCGTTACTTATTTGAAAAAGTAACTCAGATATTTCCTTCTAAATAAAAAAGTAATACGTTACTTTACTAGTTACTTGAAAAAAGTAATCTGATTACGTAACTTGCGTTACTTGTAATGCGTTACCCCCAACACGGGTGGTAAGCAAGACTTTTTACAATGTTTTTTTTTTTTTTTAAAGAAGTCTCTTATGCTCACCAAGGCTAAATTTTTTAATACAGTAAAGGCAGTAATATTGTGAAATATTATTACAATTTAAAATAACTATTTTCTTTTTTGAAGCACTTGAAAATGTAATCTATTCCTATGATGGCAAAGCTGAATTTTCAGTCTTCAGTGTCAGATGATTCCTCAGAAATTGTTCTAATATGCTGATTTGGTGCTTAAGAAACATCTTTCATTATTATCATATTGAAAACAACTGCTTAATATTTTTGTGAAAATACATGTGATACATTTTAGGGTTTTGATGAGTAGAAAGTTCATCTTTCCTGTCACTTTTGATCAATTTAATGCATCCTTGCTGAATAAAAGTATCAATTTCTTTCAAAAAACAATATATATATATATATTTTTTTTTTATCCCTAAATATTAAACCTTTCTGTTTAGTAAATTTGACTTTGAATGGCAGATTTTCACTGTGTTCTTTTAGACTTCCGTATATGTTTTATCAGGTTATCTGGTCAATAACTGATAGACACAAATAACACATATTGATTTATCCAGAAGTATAATGAAAGGTGCACAGTAGTAGTTCAGCAAACTGACTGACACAACACCACAGACGTAAGTTACCGCAGCCTGATGCGGAGAGTGACGAAAAACTTTAGGTGTTTGTCCAGAAAAATGGGGAACACAACGTGGTTCCCATGATCAAATCATTGCAACAGGCCAGTCCAAGGGCTACAGGCCTACGAAAAAGCATCTGCAAGCAATCAGGCCCAGACAGTGTGGTCGTGTATCAACAGAGCAAAGGTTAGTTGAATTTTCAGTCTATTTTCTTGAAATGTGCCTCAGCAGTAGGGATGTTTGAAATCAAAAATGGTCCTTTTTCGGCACAGTCCGTATTATGATAGGGGCTCTAAAACCCTTTCTTCCTGTTTCGTTTGGAAGCCATGCGCTGAGCTACAGAAGGAAACGTATTCTAACATTTAATGGGTACACGTCCTTCATAATCGAGTGCGTAAAATTGGATTTCATAGGAATCACTGTATTTCAATACTGCAGAAATCAGATATAGGGCATATTCAACATTTTTAAGTATTACATTTCATTTCAGTTTAATCAAACAAGTCCTACAAATCCACAAAAGCAGTGCTGCTTAATCCAGCGAGTTGCTGAGCAATGAAACCTGAAGTCGAAGACAGAAAGTGAGGAACTGTGACCCTCATTCTGTCTTCTGCATGAGGAAGTCTCTCGTCTCCCACAGCGGAGAGAAGTGTGTTTGTTAGAGGTAATTGGTGAAACTCAGTTAGGGCGAATAAGCAGTAAAGCGTTACCGGGGTAGCAGAGGAAAATATTACTATGCTAGATTACTACTTACACTATGTAACATAACTCCAAATTTACACATGCCTCGTCAACAGGGAAACACATTTGAACCGAACTGCTTCAATCCATTTACTGAAGCTGAATGCATGAGGATCTTTTGACCGCTAGGACTGACCACTTTAAAGAGATCATTCATTCGGGAGTGCCTTACTAAAGAGCAGACAGGAGCATGTACTTCCCTCTCACTTCTAGGCTGCCAGCAGAACCACTGCCAGCATCTATAAAAATAAATTGTGCCATAAAACTGAGGAAATTACAATCTGTGAAATCCTGGAATGAGACCACTAAGTGGGAAATAACAAACAGGTACATTTTTTGCCAGCACCGAACTTTAGACATGCAAGGGGCTCAGTGTAGGGAATCAATGAATGATGGATGCACTAGAAAATGCTAATTTTATACTGATCACAACTGAGATTTCATTAAAACCATCAGTGCATAATAAATACCATACACAGCTTTAACTGAGATAATGCATTAAATACTAATGTATGATCAACAGCGTGGGGAAAAAGTCTCGCACGCAAATACAAATGCTGCTTGCTTTGCAAATTAACTTACTTTATGAAATCAATCCAGTCATTAAACTAAGTACATGCTGAAGTTAAAATGTAATTTTGGAAATGAATGCAGCTGGCTCCTCGTGCCGAATATGGCTTTCCTTCTAATCCTTTCCAATATTTCAAGAAAGCATCCATTTTGAGTTCATTCAATCTCAGTATCCAGCACCATGGACAGTGCACTACAAAGTGAGCATTATGAAATGAAAGACAAGTGCAGCAGCTGTTTGAAAAAATGTATATACACCTGTAGTGTCTATACTTGTATTAAAATATCTGTAAGTATATACTGAATTTTCTTAAGTTGATGAGTTGTTGACTCATTTTATGTTAGATATGGGGGTCAATATATCCTTTTAAAGTGCAAACATATATTTTTTTAAATTATATTTCCACTCACACAGTATTATTAAGACAAAATGTTATTTATCAGTACAATAGGTAACACTTTACAATAAGGTTCCATTTGTTAACATTAGCTAACCATGTTAGTTAACAAGAGCTACCATAAAATGAAACTATTTCTAAAACATTTATTAATCGTAGTTAATGTTAATTCTAACATTTTACTATTAAAATCAAAAGTTGTATCTGTTAATATTATTTTATGGGCCTCAGCTTACATGAACTAACAAGGAACAGTTGTATTTTTATTAACTAATGTCAACAAAGATGAATTTATATCATATATAAACAATAATTTTTTATTTATTGCTATATTTTTATTAGCCTGTATATATTAATATATTTAAAAATAAATCTCATCTTCATAAACTTCTCACAAAGAATATTTTACCATTGTAGAAACATGAAATATCTGTTAACAACCAAACATAAATCATGCTGCTTAGTAACATGATAATAGAATATTTAAATTTTTATGGCCATCATTACAAACCTCTAAGCGGTGCTATTGACAGTTTTATGAGGTGCTAATTAAGTTATTGTAATGTGCCATAAAATACCCCATCCCACTGTGTACTACACAGCGACCTCAATGACAACAATGAAAAGCAAAATGTATGAATTTACATTTAAAATCAGACTGCGTTCAACTTCGGACTTACGTCAGCAGACATACTGTAAACCCTCTAGTAAAAATGCCATCTGTCTGAAAACAGGCTCAGCGCCTTTCTGTGCGCTCTTGCGTCTGAGGATCTGATTGACTGAAAGCAGGAGTTCGTTCCATGATGTTTTGTGGCAAGGACTGTAATATCTTTACAAGAACACGCAATAACAAAACCACTCGAAGAAACGATGGACAAGGCACTAATTTTATAGCTTCCTCCGTCTGGACTGACACTTAAAGCATTTCCTTCTCATAATCCTATACCTGAAGAATTCTGATTCCAAAACAGCACATATTTGTGGGTTAAAACCCGACAGCAGATATACGAGGGCCACGGACCGCAAACATTTAATGCTCTGTTTAAAACGAAATTTGCTGAACGACACTATTAGATGCGCAGTTGGAGAAGCTATATAAACTCTGCCAGCGCCCCCTTGTTGCTTCTTAATGTTACTGTGACTAAGGAGATCATTTTGAGGACAGAGGAGTGGACTAATTTTAGATGACTCACTGACAAGATGTATTCAATCAATCCATTATCATGCAGCTCTCTGGAGATATAAAGCTTATTTACTTATATTAGCGCTTCATCATTAACATATCATACAAATATATATATATATATATATATATATATATATAGGCTATATTTCATCTTGTAATGTTTTAACTTGGATATAAAGTGAACATTTTACATTTAATCTATGTAAGACTTTTTGTCTAATATTTGAGAAAATAAGAACTAAGCATGTGGTTCTTTTGTAGATTTCTAATGACATCCATGTTAGAAAAGTAAACTCAAAAACTACACGTGGGTTCGCATTTTATTTAGCCTTTTAGTGACCCCCAAGCATTTTAGAGAGACAATAAAAATGATTTGATTTGTATATCATTACAGTACATTTTCGTTTATGTTCGCACAAAATTGCGTGCTATAGGGGTTCACGGGGTGCACGCAGGATTCATAAACCGACTCAACGGGTATTACGCTCTCTGTTGGCTGGAAAAGGGATGGGGGGAAAAGAAATCACATAGATTTGTTTGAAGAAGAAAAAAATAATACAACCGAGCAACTAACACGCCCACCTATGCTACTCCATCCCCATAAGAATAACCCGGGAAGTGAGCGTTTGCCCCGAGGCAGGCGTGTGGCACAAGGTCCTGGGAAGGTACTTCTGGCTTCCCTGATGCGTACCAAGTCTCTTTTAGACCTTACAATTCGCCGTGGAGTCCCACACTCAGATCCCAAGCACACGATAAAAAGCAAAAGGCATAGGAGCCAAGTGCAAATGGGCAAAAGTTTCATTTTCAAGTGGAGAGAAGAGATTTTTTGTCAATGGATAGGGGATTTGATGATTTCAAAATACTAAATAGCGCTCGTCTTTGGAGATCTCTCCCGGTCTTTTGCTTTTACAAAAGCCTGTCAAGACGCGTATTCAACACCAACTAAGACAGCAATGCTGTCTTATTTTTTCCTTTATAATGTTAAGCCACGACCCCCTTTCCTTGCCCCTTTCAAAGACACTTCAACACAGATTGAGGGGGGAAAGGAATATGTTAATTCACCCAAGTGCTCCACCTTCCCAATTGAATGGATCCCATTAAACTGCAGGGATGACTGAGTAATCAATCAGTGTGGAGAGGTCAAAATCATTTCCCTTTCACTTTTTCTTCATCCGCATTTCAAATAAACTTAGCAAAAACGCGTTGCTCAAACATATCGCATGCACAACTCTAGGCATACATGGACGAGTGTTTGAAGGGGGTCAGTGGCGAGACCGGCGTGTATTTCTATTCTTACGAGGGATTCGCGTAGGTTTCATTAAAGTTGAAATAACACCTCACATCCCCAGTCCGACTGGAAAGAAAAAGGCAGGATTTGTCAAATGCTACATGCTTCGGGCAACTCTCGCTCGTTACGTCACATTGTTTTTATCTGGAAGAAAGCATATAGTGCGAATAGCCGGGTTCATTCTGACAGGAGTCGCAGGTAACCTGCTTGCTGTTTTGTTTCTCAGTGCGTGTCTGAACCGGGACGGTGTTTTTATTTTGCGCACCGCTGCGTTGAGAACCCTCTAGCGGCTACACCATGAACTCTCAAGAAAAAACAAAATATGGTCAGGCACGTTAAATATTTTTATTGTTCTTTCCTTTGTCCACATCGACCTATTAACATACGCAGCGCTGGCTGAGGAGGCAGACTGACAGAAAGCCAAACGCATGCTGATGGCGAGAACGAGAAGGTACAGTAGACAAAATGTATGAATGTAAGATTTAAAGAAAATTATGCTTTTGTATGCTTAATGATAATGTATGTGTAAATAACGACTTTAACGATGAAAAGCCGACACTAAGGAACAAAAACGACATTAATTAAAATAATAATAATAATTAAATATAAAGGTAAATGTTTTAGTTTTCTTTTTCCACAAGGATGCCTTTGTGACCAGTCTCCAGTTAAAATCTTTCGATTTATTTTTCATATTTTTTTGTATCTGCAATTCTATAGGCTAAATAAATAATAAATACACTCATAAATGACATCATCCTTTCAGGATGAACTCTAAAGCACAAGTAAATGTTTCTTTTTTATTATTATTGCTTAATGTTATATTTTCTCTTTCTAATAAACACCTTGTTGTGACCTTAAATACACAGATAATAATGGATAAATGAACAGTAAAACTGCCTTCAACTATATTGATTTTAAAAAACACTTAACACTTGAAGACATTCTTTGTTTAACAATAAATGTAGGTTTTAAAATCTTAAAGCACTTATTTTGTGAAATAACCCTCACATGATTACACAGATGAATATAGGGAGGATATTTTGTAACACTGATGAATAATAGGAAGCATACACAGTAGTGACAGATCTGATTACACACGTGACACCTACAACTAGAGTTTCAAAGCATTTCCAGCCAGACTCTTCTTATTGCTTTTCCTTATTGAATGCCAGCAGCAGAGGGAGCCTGGAAAAATGACTGAATGCACTTCCTACATTGTCTGCTCCAGATCTCAGTGTTCTGGTTCTCACAGCTGCAGAGGGACTCCTTGCAAACATGTGACGTCAATAGTGCTGAATATCAATGGGCACTGGTGCTAAAGGACCAGCGGGAAACCTGGGGTGAGCCACTATAGAGCCCCTCATTCGGCAGGTTCTTACCTCAAAGTTACTTTCAACCATTCTTATTCAGCAGGATGTCCCAATCACTTTAAGCCCTTTGCTCAGGAAGGTTTTACAGTGATACTCCAAAGTACCTCATCTCTTATCACTTAAAATAGATGCAGTCTTGCTAATAAAACTCAGGAGGCAAAGCAATGAACTACAAACATATTTCTGGGGTGCATATACACTTTAGCATAATACTTCCTGTCTAAATGATGGTATAACTTGTTACTTGTCCAAACCAATTGGATAGTTCATTTCAACAGTTTTGCGATTTTCTAATTTGGTAAAATTTTTATTGTCCCTGCTAATGAACTCATACAAAGCAACTGATTGGTTTTACTGTGCAGAAAGAAAGCTGCATTTATTGTTCATTATTTATTATGAACGACAACAACAAATAAAGGGCAGCAAACAAAATATCTAAAGTTGAAAGTATGCTTTAATGAGTTGCAGTGTTAATATTTGCTCAGGATACATGCACATAAAAATATAGTATATAAAAGCGCACAATGAATGCCCTGGCGCTTTGGATAAAAACATTTGCAGCATTTTACACTACATTATTAAATCTTATTAGCATATTCTAAATAGAGTTATCTCCATATCTGACTCCATGCCATGAGAAATAATCAGCAAAATCATCTGATTTTGAAACATAAAAGTCATTATTTTTCTGATGCTATATCTATTTTATCTCTGGGCTGTTGGCAAAAAGTGAACACGAATTAATTGTAAACCTACTGGAATATCCAAAATACAGTATGTGTAGAAAAATATTCCATTAAAATATCTGGTTATTTATTTCTTTGTGATTAGTCATATATAGTCAATATATTTTATTATTAATTAATTATATTATCATTTTGTGCCCTCTTATGTGAGCTATAGATTGATTTGTTGCCCAAAAGGGTTGCAACTTTGACTTCTTGTATTAAATTCAATATTATGATCACCCCTTTTTCAATGTTAATATATAGTGCAAGAAATATTTATGTGTAAAAAAAAAAAAAAAAGGCATGCAGGTTTGTGGTGGTTTTTCAGTATTTGCGACAGGATTTGTGCAGTCAATTATTATTTTATCATATATCTGCTCTGGTTTTGCTATTGCACTGTAGAACACTGACTCACTGCTTTACATTCAGCATTTTTAGTGGGGTACTCACTGCATTAAAGAAATTAAACTTTACAAATCATTCAAAGATAACGTTAAGAGAGCTCTGCACTAGTCCTGTATTGTGATTAATAGCGGGTTGCGTAGACAGCTGAAGATGTCATCAATGACGCACACATCCTGGTTTTTACTCTCTGCCTGCTCCCTCATCTGCAATCAGGAAATGCAAGTCAATTCATTTGAATTGATCCTGGCTTGTCTCCTACCTGAAGACCTACTACAACTAAAAGTCCAAGAGCAATTAACCAAACACTTAATCTTTCTGCTGATGCTGAAGCCTAAGGATTTCGTAACGTATTTGATGCTCACTCAAAGCTGGAATTTTTTCCTTAGTCTTTTATACAAGACCGTGATTTTCTCTTTTACACCAACACCGCCTTTGCCTTAACTGCACATACATATGAATAATCTTTGTGGAATTTTCCAGCACCTGCACACAGGGCTGGGTCGGATAGAAGCTTTAACACAGTATTGTGTAATAACAACTAAACGTCTCTCAAAGTCTCTCATCCCAGTAATTGTCATTTTGGACTCCTGGGCCATTAAGAGGTATGATATTCATTGGCAGTAAAAGATCAGCTTGTCCACATAAAAGCAAAATGCAAGTGATCCCCCATGACAATTGTGAAATGAATTCTTTTTATGATTTATCAGCAGATTTTACTGATGAATTGCAATTTGGGAGTACAGAGAGAAAATGCTGAAACCTTCCAACAAACAACTTTCCTAATATCACAGCAAATGTAATGCAGAATTAGTGTGTTGATTCATGAATATGAAAAGGTCTGTCGTTGATGATAATTAGAAACAAGCTTGCAACTGAATCTTATGCAAGTCAAACATGTACACGTGTGTATGTGTGAACAAGCGCGTACGTGAACAAGCGTTTGTGTGCGTGTAGTAGGGGAAATTCCACCTGGTGTTTATTGTACCCATCCTTCAGAAAGATAACCATCACAAAAATGGGAAGGGATGCATGTTCTGACATCTATTGTATCTGATCCAATAATAAAATATGGGCATTTCTCATTCATTCCAGAGATCAAGGTGTTCCCCCAACGGAACAGATCAATTTGTAGTTAGGGAGACTCTGGAAAAACCCTGTACTAAGGCCAATGCAACATTTTGTAATGAGTGATGGAACAACGTATTAATTTAATCTCAGCTGCACGAAGCGGTTGTCATTACAATGGTGTTGGCAAAATAACCAAAATGAACATTCTGCAACATATTGGTTGGCAAACTTGGTTCATATCAACTGAACGGAAGATCTTAATGGTGGAGTAATAGCAGCTGGTGGAATGTTGATTTGAATATCTGTATGTTGCTTTGCTGTTCATTTAACAAATAAATAAAGATTTTTGCAGCGTATGTTAATCCTTGTCTGTGGAGAACGAAAAACAAAGTATTGAAATTAAGCTCCCAATTTGTGTCCTCTCAGAATCTTCTGATAAATTATTTGGTTTTCATATTCATAGCCCATTACACAGCTACCTAATTTCATTCACTTCAAGTTTAATTCAGCAGAGATGGACAAAGTCAGCCACCTGTAACTCAAGCATCTGATGTAGATGAATATTTAACAGAGCCCAAGGCAAGAGCTCAGTTAAAGTGGGCAGCGATAACCTCATAGTGATGTTGTTGAGAATGAAGCTTGCATGAATGCAATGATCAATCTAGACTTTTTGTCATTGTAAATTAAGCTGAAATCAGTCTGTGTCGATTCTGACTCAACTTAAGGGAAAATGAGACATAAATACACTCTTAAAAATAAAGGTGCTTCACGATGCCATAGAAGAATCTTTTTGTCTAAATGGTTCCATAAAGAACCTTTAACATCTGAAGAACCTTTCTGTTTCACAAAAGGTTCTTGATGGCGAAAGAAGGTTCTACAGATTACAAAAAGCTAAGAAAGACATGGTTCTTTAAAGAACCCTTGACTGAATGGTTCTTTGTGGAACATCGCTGTGAAGAACCTTTTAAGCACCTTTATTTTTAAGAGTGTAAGCTTAGCAGACCCAGCTTACATTTCATAATCACATTCTGACTGTATAAGATACAAAAACAGAATTTCCCAGA